TCACATCTGCCATGTGGTCCTGGATGTACTTGAGTGCTTTCTCAATCTTGGGCTGCTGGATGCGCCCAACGGCGCCTCGCGTTGTGAACGCAGCTGCCGCACTGATTTCCACCCCATGGATGGCGTCGACGAACAGCTTGAGCGCCGCCACGTTCTCTTCCTTGAGATCCGCCTCGTGTTTGGAGATCTCTTTCTCCAGGGCGTCCGTTATGCACTTCGCGAGGTTCGTCAACTCTGCGATCTCGGCGGAGGGCACACCAAGTTTCACTTCTGGAATGGCAACTTGTCCGGGGATTCCGGTGTTGAGCGCGCCATCACAGTTGGTCTGAAACCCGTACCCCGATCCCTCTTCGGTCTCTTTCTGCATCTCGTAAATGGAGAAATGGAGTTTCAGGCCCAGCGAGCTGAGGAGCAAGCGGTTGGTCTGCACGACGGCAGCAACGTAGATGACGAGAAAGGAGTTGCGCCGCCCAAAGCCGGAGAGTCCGTGGCGGATAGCGTCATTGCGCGGAGTCTCGACTGCGAGTTTGTCTCCGAGTCCGATGAGATGAGGAGGGAATGCTGGGTATGGTCAGTGGATAATATGAAGACGCGAATTGGAATCAACTCACATTTGGGGGCAGGACTGGTGACCCATTCCTGAATCCCCAAATCCTGGCTAAAGAATTCCTGTGCAAGCAGATTTCAGACGCAGATATCAATGCAGGGAATTAAACATACAGCGAACATGGGGCTGAACTTGAACTTTTCGGGATCGAACATTGTATCTGGATAACGGTGTTGAGTAGCTGAGAACGAGGTTGTATGTGGATGGATCGTTGGGTAGCTGAGGACGAGGACAAGGTCGAGACGAAGCTTTATACCCGGCTCCAGCACGTATAGGGACTCCGGGAGGTTGAAGTCGCTGTTGTCATCTAGCTGCCAGACGTGGCTGCATTTGTGGCGTCCATGCCGGAGCTGGTGCGCCAGAATTGTCCCATTGCTGATCCTGTGGAAAAATCGGTATTTAAAGTTCAAACGGTCATATTGATTAAAATTCCTCCCGTCGTGCGTAGTAGTGGGATGGAGCCGGTCAATGTTCTTCCCAGAGCCGAGGCGACTGATTACTTGGTTGGTTTCATCGCCTAACTCAAAAAATTGGAAGATTATGGAAACGAGGTTATTGTCTAGAACAACAGTGAGCGAACAGTTTGAAGTAGAAGAGAGGTGCGGACAGAGTTCCCGAACCGTATCGCACGCCTGACTGTAGAAGGTACAGAAACTCCAGAATGTTGTAGTTTCCTGTTGTCATCTAACTGCCGAGTCTCATGTACGTACTTGCATTTGTGTTACAAATTGTTGTGCTAGAGTCGGACGTCGGCCAAACCGTGGGTTCGCCAGGTAAAAAATAGTGCCGGCGTCGTAAACTAGGGAAGATTGAAGTTGCGGGCGCCGCCTTTGGAATTCTGACTACGCGTCCAGGATCATCAGATCAACGTGGGTATGATCATTTTTTACAGAAGGGCGTGCGGGGACGAAGCCTGAGGTACGTAGAGCTCTCGGCATGCCTTCAGAGACGTTCCTAAGAAATAAGTGAATCCAGGTTGAAATAGAAACTAGGCGTGCAGTAGGATGTCGTGGAGATCATCTAAACGAGTCCCTGAACAATGTACTTGGAGGGGGTGGTATCAGCTCAATAATATTTGAAAAACAAACAATGGGGGCTGACGAATCGGTAATTGCGGTGGCTGCGGATAGTTTCGGAGGTTTGATCAATGATGGTTGCGAAAATTTAGTAAACATCGCACCTGTAAGCTCGGGGTCCCCAAGTTCCCGGGGGAAGACGCCGGTATCGCAGTGGTTCCCGCAAGTATCTTTGCGCGATGTTTACCCGGTGAAGCCAAAATTGCAGATGGTGGTAAGAAACAAGACAGGTGCCATGGCGGAGATTCAAATTTTCGTTCACGATGCGTGACGGTCACTCACTGTGTCGGACTAGTCTCGGCCGAGTCCGACAGCGTTGCTCCTGAGCAGTGAGCGCTTCCAAAGTAAAAGATTTCCCTTATCCCCACTGTACATTCTGATTCCCCCACGACTACTCTCCAGCATCTCTTCCTGTTGCCCATCTTGCGGTATAGTCGTTCCCGCTTCTAGCGCTGTGGTAACTGGTAAAAGTGGTGATTTCAGTCAAGCTCTCCGTGACCACGCCTCCGCCTTCGATTTCGAGATCCCACCGGTTGATCCCACCGGTTGGAGCATATCTGGATCGCCTTCTCACCGACCGTGCGGCGATCCAGGAAGAATTGAACGCAATCACTTATCTCGTCGTCACACTCCCCGTTGAAATCGTATTGCAGATCTTCTGCCGGACCTTCGCACTTGAAGGTCCCAAGTCAGACTCGACTCCGCTGGCGGGCTCACTGCGTTTAGGCCAGATTTGTCGCGTGTGGATCGCGTGTGGAGGCAGATTGTGTTGTCCACACTGGCTTTGATACTACGCGCCAGGTTCTTGACAAATTGCGGGAGATTCCCAAATAGCTACCGCGGCTGCGATCTCTCTCGATCCACCTAAATTCTGCCGGAGCCTCCGCTCCCATTTTCGCTGATGCCCCGCTCTTGCGGATGGTGAAGCTGGTGTGCTTTGGACCGCAGAAGCTCGCACTCCCCTGTTCTCAGCCTCTCTCCATCTTAACAAATTTACTACGACTCAGCTTGCGGAGATTACCTGGATTACCAAACGTCGTCGATCTGGTCATTGGGTGGATCTATGAATCTCCTGTTACTCTCGACCAGATTTCACATTCTAAACTTCGATCTATCATCTTCCTCGGAGCGTCTATGGCCCGTCAACTAGAAATCTTTTCCATTATTTGTACAACCCACCTTTCGGAGTTAAAGATGAGCGTTCCCAGTTCGGGTCCATTACCTTGCCCCTGATGGACCCAGTTTCTCTACATTTCGAATCTCTCTGCATATATCTTCAGACTCGCCCGTTTTACTAGACAACGAGATGGTGGATGACCTAATCCCCCTATGCGCCCCTCCAACCGTCAAACTCACGCTATATAGTCGCGCTTCTACCATGATCTCCCTTGATCTGATTCCTTTCCTTTAGCGGCTCGCCAATCTCGACTTCCTTCCGAAACTGGAGTCGCTCGAGCTTATAGTGCATAATGGATACTCGCCTCCACCGTTCGAGAGCGCCGATGTACTGGCGGACATACTCTACAAGAGGTCGTCGTCTGCACCCTGCAGCCTCCGGCATTTTGACCTTCGTCCACAACGTGCCATCCCTGGTGAATGGTGGCCGATTTGGTTGCGAAGGAATGCAGATTCGTATACGAACCGACCTGATCTGGTCAACACTTTTGGTCAACCTGAATTCTGACCTGCGGACGCCGAAATTATAAATATTTTGGAGCATTTGTGTAATATGCCGAGCCCAAGAAATAGCGATCGCCGAAGCGCTTGCTCGCGCAGATCTTGAAAGCTTTGTGGCCAACCTGAATTCTGAAACTATTATATTTTAGAGCATCTGTATAATATTACGAAACCAAGAAAAACAAAATTGAACATCCGCTGGAGCGCTGGACGCTGCTTGTTGCTCGCGAGGTATAACAGACCTTCAACAGCCTTAACAAAGTTCCGTCCGCTTTTACTCTAGTCGAACAGGGCTCTATGGCCGTCCGACCTTGTGCATTGCCGGCCGCAATCAATTGTCCAAGTTATTAATAATGACGCAGGTTCGTCGCGGCCACAGACGAATAGCACGAAAGATATTCTGCACCGCCATGCGGAGCATCAGATTGATTGCTCGGTCACTCATCTTATACCAAATCACCATGTCGTCAACAGACTCGCTGTCCTTCCCAACTCTAACGCCCCGCGACACCGTCGTAATAACATCCTACAATGCAGTGCAGGGTACCGGCGTAGACTTGGCCTTTCTGCAGCATCCAGTCAACGGCAGCATGGGAGTGCTAGTCAATGACGACGGGATCATTGCAGAGGTTCGAGAAGACAAATGGTCGGAGTTCCTCCGGTACGTCGTAGACGCAAAAGAAACGGCAAAGAAGTTCGGAGGAGGGTCTTGGAGTCGCCCACAAGAGGTATGCCACGAAGATTTTTGGTTTGCTGAACTCGAATATTTCTTATGAGGAAACAGGACTTTTGTCCTACGGACATATTTTACGACCTTGGTCCAGCCGAAAGAAAAGAAGACTTTGTGAAGTTTCAACTGACGGGGCATCAAGTTAGCGGTGACGAGCCGGATGAAATCTTGCGATGGCTCAACGGAAAGACGGATATTGTTTCGGAAATTCCGCCGGCCCTAGTGAAGGTATGTATGCTCTTTATATCATTCTGGACACTCTCTGAATTATTTTCAGTTAGAATCGGCCATCGATGCTCTGAGGCAGGAGCTGCTTCCGAACGCGCGTCGCCAAGGTGTGTAAAAAAGCGTAAGTATCGTGCGTTGTCTTACAAACGCTACAGCATCGATTTCAGGGTATACCAAGAAATTTTGGGAGGTGGTAGACGGTATGGCAACTATGAACAGCGCCGCTTTCTGGTCCTGAAAACAACGGCATCGTACGTCGGCCATTGAGTGAATACACATACAGTTTTAATGTACTCTTCCTGGGCATCCTATTTGAACTATCAATTGGTCTGCCTGATAACTGTGTCCACAACGTTCCTCGTACTGCCGTCGTCATAAATTGACTCCGGCACCAGAACCTGACCCGACTAGCCCATCTGCATATCGCCGAAGTTGAATGCATTTCGGCGAAGTTTAACACACTTTGCGCATCGGCTGCCAGATCTTGATTCGGGGCTTGGGAGATTCATAACCTAAGCCAGTATGAGCGAGGCATCCTATCTCCTGCGAGTTGACAGCTTATTGTCCTTTGATTCCAGACTAGTCATTGAAGCATTCAAATCGACCATGGAACGAAAGATAGACCTGCGTCGTGTCATAGTTTCGCCCTCGTGCCGAGCCAATTTGAACGAGAAAAGACAACAGCACCGTAGCACAGCTGGAAGTGCGCCGGTCTCATATCTTGGCTGGTCCCGAGCTTTGAGTAATCCGGAGGTCGCTTGATCGAAACAAGCCGTTGCTATCACTTTTTGAACACCGGCGGAGAGTTGCTGCTACGAGAAATGACTCGAGCTCCCAGTCGAGTCACATTTTGAACGGAGTTGAGTTCATTGCTGTGAGTGACATTTGAATAATGTTTTCGGAGTAGGCGTAGATCTAGAATGATAAACTGTGGTTACTTCTTTCTCGACGGGGAGCATGAAAGATCTTTGTTTCGGGCTGTTTGTATTGACGCGTTGACGCGTCGGAGTCACGTGGGTACGACTCAAAGTTGTCTCTCTCAAAAAAAAAGATAAAATATGTTTTGTATTCCGGTTCCCGGATACGTAAGGGGGAGCTCGCTAATACAGAGTTTTGTTTCGCAACTGCAGATTTTGAATATTTACAACTAATCCTCATTAAATACATATTCTCCAAGATCCATACTGTAAGTATCTAATTCAAAACCAAGTGCAGCCCTACGTGCAGTGTCATACTCCGGCATTTTCATTGATTCTGTAACGGGCTTTTGCAGCCGGGCCCACCCGAAGGATTTCCGGAAAGCTATACCACGCAATGTTTTGACTCGAGAAATTGCAACAAAAGAAAGGCCTGAGGAAAAATCCTTGTTGCCAATATCAATTGTTGCTTCATCAAGAGTAATTCCTTGACTCTTGTGGATTGTAATAGCCCATGCAAGGGTAAGTGGTAACTGTGTTCTTGATAGCGACTTCCCAGTTCTGTCGTCCCATCTTGTGGTCACAGGAACAATTGGAATCCAGGATGGATCAATTCCATCCCAACCTGGTGTGGGAGGACCTGTTTAATTCAGATAAGCAATGACCCTGAATAATAAGAGAGTCACTGAATACCTGAATATCCATTGCACTGAACAAACACAACTGATGGAAGATTGATCTGCACATAACATCCAGGGAGGTAACAAATTTTCTTTACAATTCCCTGACAGCCATTGACCAAGCCTAGGAAATCAATGAGAATGAACTGGAGAACTAGAATACACACACCTTTTGAAGTCCACAAATTGCGAGTAATCATGATTTTTGCCCCTTCAGCTAAAAGAATCTCCTTCTGCAAGCCTTCTGCATCCTCATCAGAGGCTTTTTTTGCATCAGGACTGTTGTGTTTAGCCAGACATTTAACAACAGGCTTTTCAAGCATGCTGAGCCGAAGAGTGTTAAGAGTGTCAACAGCCTCTCTGGTAGGAAGTAGATGGAGTGTGTCTGAAAAGCTGGTACGTTCGTCAGGTGAAAGGCTTTCCCAAAATCGTGTTGAAAAGAGAGAATGGTCAGCCTCTGTGGCCTTGTACTCTCTGAGCCTCATAAGCGCATCCCAAAATTGGACCTGTTCCAGGTTGTCTCCTTGTTGGCGAAAGACCTTTTGCAGGGTTACTGACTGAGTAAAAGATTCAAAGACTGCACGTCCTTCAGCTGCTAATCCAGCTCGTCTTCCTGCTGTTGGTTTGTCTGAGTAAAGTGGCGTGTCACCAATAGGAGGGAGCTGAAAAAAGTCGCCAAACACAAGTGCCGGAAGACCACCCAAAATTTCATCTGCTGCAGCTGGGAATGCCTGGCGAAGACGACGATCGCAGCGGCCCATCTGAACTCTCCCTATCATTGATTTCTCGTCTTTGATAAGGAGCCTTACATGCTTCCACCGAGTCTGAAGCCGTGTGAGACCAGCACCAGACAGTTGAGTAAAATCCTTTTTCTCTTTGGCTGGAATCCCCAATCCAAAATTCACAGTCCATCCTCGGATGCCAAAAGCAGATATCCCTGTGGGGGCCAAACAAACAGTTGGGTCTTTTGCACTAATATTGTTCCCATCTACCCCAAACAGGTCCCTAAGTGCAGCAGTGATGCACCAGATAAGGAATGATTTTCCAGTACCCGCAGTGCCATCAATATTAATGCGAAGTGGAGGAGGTTTTGGGCCAGGATGATCTGAGTTGATCCGTTTGAAGTAGGCCATTACCTGAAGAAAGACTTCTCGTTGTTTGCCTTTCAGCTTTCTATAGTCATGATCAGGCAAAGCCTGAATTTCATCATTGGGTGATTCTTTGACCAAGTCCTCTAGCCATGATGCAGCAGCTTTCACTGTAGCCTGATCTGGTGAGTTCTCAATCCAGTTGTACTCAAGGTCCATGTCTCGTTTTCCGAGATTTCCCAGGTTGGACTCAACAGATTCATGAGGTGCACGACCTGCCTCTTGCATCCATTCTGCTTGGTTGTTGTACACATCAGGATCATCACCCTGAACTGATTCTGAGTCACTGTCCTCTGGGTCGGCTGGATTTCTGCAACTGTGGGAAGTGTGTCATCTGTAAGGGCAACCACGAAGGCCCGAGGTACTCAGGGACTGACGTGGGGGATCCAAAGGTTAATTGACAGTAGCTAAATGTACAGAGAAGCATACCTGACGTGGGGGATCCAAAGAGAAGAAACTCTGAGGATTCCCACGTCAGCCGTGGGTATAAGTAAGCTACTAGCTAAGACCATGTGACCGGAGTGATCGGCAGATGTCCCGGGCTCGGTCACATGCGAGGTGCCATCGGGGGTCCCCTGGCGGGTCACGTGCCGGCTCCCGGTACCGGTTCCGGTAGGCCGGTGACCGGAAGAGCGACCGGAAGGACCGGAGGGGCCGGAAGTGCTCTGAATGGGGGTCGGGACGGGGGTTCCCCTGACATCATCTGAATGTTGATGACCCTTGTCAAGGCATTCAATCTGATATGCAACTGCCCAGCTGACATATTTTCCAGGCTGACCATTGACATCAGGTGGCAAATCAGCTCCACAGAGCAATTCCTCTGGAGTCTTTCCAAAAGGATGATGAAGAATCATTCTGGCATAGCAGTACTTCTCATAGAGCTCTTCATTATCAATATTGGGTCGGTAACACGGCCAAACATTGACAATATAGGCCAATGCACCATTCTTTCCACGCTTTGTGCAGACACTCTCTTTGTTCCAGTTAAAGTGTGTGGCAAATTCCAGTAAGGACACATTTTTCAAGTCCAACTCAGGTGCCCCTGTGCGCTTTTGATATCTCTCAATTATGCCAAGCCGCTGGATAACTTGGTTTTCAAAGTCTACTGTACCAGATTCACCATTTGGATCGACACAAAGACTACGTGGTGGTTGACGAGAACTGCGTGTAAGTCGACAGCCAAGCAAGATATGGCAAGTCTCTTGGGCAGAAACATCACGTTCAGCTGCAAAAGTTGAAAGCATTTTCTGGTATGCAATCCCTGCAGCATCTGCTTCCTGTAGACGTGAAATAGAAGTATTGAGGACTTCCTGGTATGTTGATGATTGACTGTCTGCTTTGCTAGCATATTTTGCCACATAAGCTATGACTGCCTCCCGATTGATCACTGGTCGAAAGTCAATGTTGGCCTGCCATGATAGAATGACACCGGGGTTATAGGAATTCAAAAGCTCATCATTACGACGAGTGTGAAGTTCAGGAAACTCCCGATCAGCATTTTTTGCATATGCAGAAGTCTCACGACACTCCTTTGGAAAACCAAAGCGACAAAATATTTCTCCAGTGCCCTTTTTCTTCCGTTCACAATATCCTGCAGTGCATTTTGTGTGACGCTGGAGGCGGTTCAACATTTGAGCCAGCTGCAGTTTGGTATCATCAAGGGTGTTAAACAAACGGGCAGAAGGATGAACTGCTGCAGGTGGGGTGGCTAACTGTGGATGCCAGGTTGATACATGTTGGTCCCAAAAGTCAATGAACTGCTGCAACTGGATTGGATCTGAAGTGTCAAGGCTATCTATAGAGGGAGCATCTGCTATCCAGAGAAATCCATGGACATGACTGCTTCCACGATGCTGCCATTCATATCGCCACCAAAAGTCTTTGACGTTGAACTTGATTTTGATATTATGTTCAAAGTACACTTCAAATCGCTTCTGGAAGTAATAAGAAGCAATAGCCGGATTTTCATTAAGGTCTTTCAATCGAACACAATATGAGTGAGCATCTTCTTCAGCATTGGGATCAAAATTGGGCATGTGTTGATGCATATCTGGCCACTGGACATCTGCGGAAGAAAAGGTGACAAATAGATGAGGGGATCCACACTCCGGAGAACGAATTTGTGCAATAAGATCTCGCTGAGACTTTTGCCAGAAAGGCCGTGAGCCTGGGAGTCTAACAGCAGCATGCGCAACACGATCTGCTAGACCTTTGGCATCATCATTGTTCAACATTTGCTGTATATCTGCCACTGTCAACTCTTTGTCTTCACGGTGGGTAGTTGTGTACCACTTTGAAGCTTTTTTAGCATCATGCCGTAGAATTGTGTTCAGAGCCCAATAGCGAAAGCGAGGATGGCGTGCAAATCTGCCGTCCTTAAACCGCATCAGATGAGCTGCCCATTCAGCCATAGTCATTCTATTGTCTCGTGGAGCATTGAAATCTGCTTTTCCAGTTGGAAACAAAGAAGGAAAGGCATCAATTGAAAATTTAAATTTGCTAGAAAGGCCTGTGCTCCAGGTCTGTCTGGAATTGGACCACCACCAAAGACATCATCGGGAGCCTGTTGAAAAGGAAGAACAATGCGAGGCGAATTCTGAGGCACACGGTGGTGCTGGGAGCTGTCTAGAACACGATTATCCCGTTCATTCCTTTGAGATGCAATCCGAGCTCTTTGAGGAGTATTAGGTGGAGTTTGATCCCTATTTTAAAGTCAATTTTCAAGTGTGAATCAGAAGGGCAAGGGAGACATGCATTCCATCAGAGCTACAAAAAGTGAGAAAAGTGGGATCAAGGCTAAAGAAAGCACACACACTGTCCAAGGTAATATCAGAAAGAGCAGATAGGGGCTAATCACCAAGTGCATCAAAGCTGCTAAAACAGAGTGAATTTGGAGGAATAAAAAAAAAAAAAAACAACTGAGAAGAGAAAGTACCTGAAGCTTTGCAGTGAGGATGGTGGGGGGAAGCAAGGAGGAATGCAGGGTCTGCATGTCTGCCTTGAGGATTTCATTGATTTATTCTAGCTTATCGGGGA